TCCGGTGAGGGCAGTGCGCCCACCAGGAAAAACCCCCCAAAAAAAAAAAAAAAAAAAAAAAAGAAAAAACATGCCACGCACATGGACGTGTGTGCCCAAAATGTGGAAAAGGAGAAATAGAAGAGAAGGGATTGTGGTGTGACTCTCTCCCATGAGGGATGTCTTCTCACTTTCCCTCTCTCTCTTCTTTTTTCTCTCCAGCAAGTGCATACACCCTTTGGCAAATTATAAAAATTAAAAAATAAATATATAATAATTACAAAAAATAAGTCGCAAGCCACCAGGTCAGGGACTTGAACTATGGTTGGCCATGTGGGAGTCCAGCGCCTTTAACCACCATGCCACCTGCTGGTCCCAGCAGCCTATATTTAAAAAAAATAATTATTTATTCTATTTAACTTTAATTAATTAATTTGGGGGGGTGATGTTTTCACTATAGGGCGCGTGCGCTCACCAGACAGAGAGAGCCAGAGAGACGGAAAGCAATGAATCACCCCCCAGGGGGATGGCCACACTGCAATCCTTTCTCCTCCATTCTCCTCTCAGGATTTTGGGCACACATGCACACGTGCCAGGCATGAATTTAAGCCACCAGGTCCAGGACTCAAACCGCGGTCGACTACGTGGAAATCCAGCGACATAGCCATTATGCTAACTGCTGGTTCCAGATGTCCAGACTTCTTAAAGCCAAGAAAAAGAGAGAGAGAAAGCAGGCGGCCAGGTCTGAGACTGAATCATAGTCGGCTGTGTGGGAGTCCGACACGCTCAACCACCATAACACCTGCTAGCCCCTACAGCCTAGATTTTTAAAAATAAGTTTACTAATTCATTTCTTCCATGAGTGAGTCAGAGAGACAGCACCCCCAACAAGGTCCAGACATCATGGTCTACCCTCAGCTTCAGCCAACCCTGGATCAGAGGCACGTGTGTGCCTGGTGTACAAAGGGAGGTCTCCTGATGCTGACCCAAGACCTTCCCAGGTGGTGGGCCTCACAGAATGCTGTTTTACCACTGCACCATTGAATGGCCCCCTAGTGGCCTAGGTTTCCAAACACAACTATTTTCCCTCTCTTCCCTCCCAATATTTGCAAATTTGCTATAGGGTTTGTGTGTGTGTATGTGTGTGTGTGTGTGTGTGTGTGTGTGTGTGTGAGAGAGAGAGAGAGAGAGAGAAAATGAAAAATCACATCCCAGGAGGGACAACCATGCTACAATCCCTTTTCCATTCTCCTCTTTGGATCTTGAGCACACAGGCACATATACCTGGTGTGTTTCTCCTCTCAGGATCTTGGGCACGCATGCACACGCACACACACAGGCACATGCACCTAGTGTTTTAAGCTGCTGGGTCCAGGACTTGAACTATGGTTGACTACGTGGGAGTCCAGTGATGTAACCATTATGCCATCTGCTGGACCCACCTGGTGTGTTTTTCAAGCCATCAGGTCTGGGACTCAAACTGTATAGTTGGCCATGTGGGACCCAGCCTCCTTAATCACCATGTGACAGGTAGGCACTGCAACTTATGATTTCTTTGAATAATTATTTTATTTAAATTTATTTATTTATTTATATTAATTTGACCAGAGAGGGACAGAGTGAGCGAGAGAGGAGAATGTGACAAAGCAAGCCAGTAGGTCTGGGACTTGAACTGTGGTCGGCCATGTGGAAGTCCAGCACCCCTAACCACTATACCACCTGCAAGCTCCTGCAACTTATTTTTTAAACTTTGTTTTAATAGTTTTATTTTAGCTGCATCTTCACTATGGTCCTTTTTGGAAGTATGTAAATAAATGACAAACAAGAATACAAAAAATTCGCAAAATCATTCTTTTTTTCTAAAGAATTACTTAGTTTTATTTATCATAATCGTCATCATTAATATGTTTTTAATTTGACCAGAGAGAGTAAGAGAAAGAGGGAAAATGAGAGAACAAGCTGCCAGGTCCAGGACTCAAACCATGGTCAACCATGTGGGAGTCTAGCACCTTAACCACCATGCCATGCCACCTGCTGGCCCTATAAAATCATTCTTAAAGCACAATCTCCCTGAGGGCAAGGAATCACATCCTTCATTTGTTTTGCATAATAATGATTTATATCAGAAAACATTTCACTATAAAAATAACTTTTAGGGGGACCAGCAGGTGGCTTAAAGGTTATGTAACAGGATTCCCACATGGATGATTGCAGTTTTAGTCCCAGACCCAGTGGCTTAAAACTCACACCAGGCACATGTACACATGTGCCCAGAATCCCAAGCGGGGAATGGAGAAGGGAATGCAGTGGCCATCCTCCCTGGGGGGTAATTTCTCGCTGTCTCTCGCGAGTGCACACGCCCTATAGCAAAAATCTCTCTTACAAAAAAGGAAAGAACCTTTTGTTTTGGTTCCTATGCTAATCCAAAGGAGGTACTTAATACTTGGTTGTTAAAATAAGTTGAATGATAGGTGAGGTTGACAGAATGGTCCACAAAGAGCAAAGGGGCTCTTTGTTGGGACTGTATTGATAATGACCATTCAGTCAATGATCCCTTCTTTCATTTATCAAAGTTACATGCCGATTATGAGCAGGCATTCTGTTGAGCCCTGGAGAAACGAAGGTGACCAACCCAAACACAGTATCTGGCCTGAAGGAGCTCACAGTACCGTGTGGAAGACGGGCACGGAAAAAATCCTTTCAACGAACGTGGCAAGGTAAGTGCTAACTGAGCAGAGGACACGATACCACAGAGGTACCACCAACAGCATGCGTGGGGCTTGGGGGACAAGAGAAGCAGCCTGGGATCTCCTTAGTCAGAAGAGGAAGGGAGGAGGGTCCCAGGCAGACCAGAGATGCCGTGTGGTCTCTTCAGGTAACTCCAAGTTGTTCAGTTTCCTCAAAAGAAATGGGTTATGGACTCATAAAAGTAGGCTGGAGTGGAGGCAGGGATCAAACTCAGACCCTTGTAGCTTCTCCAAGGAACCTGGATTTTATCTTGAAGGTGAGGAGACTGTTGCAATCAGTGAAAGCTGCTGTCAGGCAGAAGGGGCTTCAGGACATCACAGACATGATAGAACCTGATGTGACTCTTTCCAATGTAGCTCCAGGTTACGAGTCCTGTTTGGATCATTACCGAATCCTATGGAGACAGGACTTGGCTCTGCAGGCAGGAGCCATCTACGGCTGAAGGGACTGATTTAGGGTCTGCGTGACACAGGCCAATGCTGGAAAGGAGATCAAGCTCTGGACCAGGGCTGGACTAAATGACCTTTAAAGTTTTTACCCAATCTGAGGTTCCAGGATTTGAAAGTAAGTCCGGTAGCTGAACTGGTACTGTGGGCTGGGATCTGTGGCTAGGGAGCTGCCTTGGGCAGCAAATGGGTTAACGCTCAAATAACTTTTATATATGAATTAATGTGTAGAGTTGGGAGCCAAAATCTGTTCCATTAATTTTTCCATCCATTCCAGGAGCAGTTAGGTACACACAGTAAAGTTTATTTTGGTGCATGGTATACTTCACTCCATTAAAAATAAATTAATCAGCAAATTCCTGCCTGGCTCAGCTCTGGTTTATGTAAATAGTGCCCAGCTGTAATGAGTTACAAGGTGTTATTATCTCACACACACAGAGGAGGCTTCACTCTAGAGCTCCGTTCGCAACAAAAGCATCTTAAATAAACTGAGAGAAGGCGGTTTGATTTGTAATGTTTTCATAGAAGTGGGATATACCTCACCCATATAGAGTTTCTTTATATGACTCATTTTATAGCAAGTTAAATGAAGGAAGTTGGATGGGGGGAGGGAGGAGCAATATGGTTCCACCCCCTTTCCTCAATTTAAGAAAATCCCTCAAGAGATGACCCACTCTGAAGGAGGAGGGGCTGGGCAATGCTCAGACCGGGGTGCTCTGCAGACCTGCTCCAGAGGTTGGGAAGGGGGCAGAAAGCTGGGCATGGGGTGGTACAATTAAGCCAGGAAGAATATTCTCCCCAACATCTCACCTAAGGGGAGGCCAAGAGAGGAAAGACGGCACGATCCTCACCTGGTTTATTGGGGCAACAAAGGGGCCTTTATTCTTGAGGCCTCTTTCCAAATGACTTAGGATGTGACAAGTCTCTTGCCCATCAGGGGCCTCTTGGGTCCCAGAGGATAGGCCTGGCAGGCTGTGCCTTGGCCAGAACCGTGACACATCTCCATGAACTGGAGGCCTGAGCAGCAGCAGAGAGCTCGTGACCTCTACGCTCTCCCTGCCTCTATCTGAGCTAGGTGGCGCTCCTTAGCTTATGGCATCCACCATCTCAGAGACGCTTTTAAAAACTCTGGAGTAAAGAAGAGCCATGGCAGAGATAAGTCTCTGTTTCTTTTAATGGCCAACTCAACCCCATGGCTCACAGCCAGGGGACAGAGCATGGTTACCCGTCTTCACTCAGCAGCATTACAAACTGCCCCGAGGCCTTAGTGGGCTCCTGGTGGGGGTGTCCCTTTTTCACCTACCCCATCCCTTCCTCGGCCTTTGGGAAAAGCACATGTGGTTGCTGGAGGAACTTGGGGAGTGTGTGCTGGGGAGCACTTACTCAGGGCTTCTCTTGAGGGAGAGAACACCCCAGAAGAGATAGGGGTTCTCTGGGCACTGTACCCCACCAGGTCAGACTCCTGGGTACACTAAGAGGAGACTCAACACAAATGGAGCCAGGCATTTGACAGTTGCTGTTCAAAGGACAGTTCAGGCCACTTTCTGCAGGGTCCTGGACCAAAGAGGCACTTCTCTCCTGGCAGTTCCTCAAAGCCAGCTGGCCAGCTATCTGGAGGGCACAGCCCATTAGAGACCCTCGTCGTTATAGGTGGGGGAACGGGGCTTCAGGATGCTCTGAGGATTCTTCTCCACTAGAGGGCGCCAGCTAACCTCCCCTGTCAGAAGGAGATCCTCGCCATTCATGGAGTCCAGGTACTGCATCTGCAGGAGAGAGGAAAGGGACAATGGCAGGATAGACATAAGCTGGCACGAGGAACCAACCTCTGAAAGTAGAGGAAGAGGAAGAAGCATGAGAGAGTTTCTGACTATCCCAGCTCCCAGGGGGCCTCTGCTCTCCCAGATTATTAAGGAAATTTGGAGAAATTTTGGGGGATGCTCCTTCCCTATCACACTTCTGAGTGAAGATACACCTCTCCTGACTTTAAGCACTGCTCCTTGGGTTTGTGCTGACTCCTTCTGTTCCCTAAAACTGCCAGCTGCTACACCATCCAGAGACAACGATCATGTCCCCTCTGTGCTTCCTCCTGTTTGGCGCAGAGATGGTGAGTTCCAGATGCCAACCATCCTGAGCAACCCCTGGCCCCTGGATGCTTTCAGGCCTGTCCAAGGAACCTAGGTAGAGGACCCTCCCTACAGAGAGGGGGCACCTGTGGTGGAGGAAGAGAGGAGCAGCTGCCGGGCAAGTGAAGCCACGCAGGTCTGCAATGGCAGCGATCCCAGGAGTCCAGGCTGAGTCTCGGAGAAAAAGGCAGACTCTGAGAGGGTTCCCTAAGCTGCCTGCTAGTAAGGAGGGCACAGAATGAGAAGGGCTTTCACATGGATAGGCCAAATCTAGGATAAGACCTGCAGCAGGGCAGGAGTCAACGCTGGGTGTGGGGCCAGGGGAGGAGGATTCACCTTAAGCCTTGGATCATCCCTGTCTTCCATGAATTCACCACTCTGGCTTCACTTTCAGGATGCTCACCCTGGCATTCAACCCCACACTCATATATGGTACCCAGGTCTAGATATGCACATGCCCTGCTTCTGTTGTCCCCAGTAAGGAGGAGTCCTCAGTTAAACTGCTATCTGCCCTAAAGCCCACTGCTCTATCCAGCGACTCCACTGCTGCCCCAAATGCTACTACTTTGCCTCTCTCTTGGATCAAAAACCTCAATATAACCTCTGCTTGGGTGTCAGGTCATCAACCCCACCACGCAGCACAGTAGTATAAACAAGAGTCTGCTGAAGGCCCAGTTTCCTGGTTGCCCCTGACCCACTAGGCCAGCGTGAGCCTTTCTTTTCCCTGGTCTTCCTCAGCACTGTCGGACTGGTATCACATCACAGGCTGCCGTGTTCCAGGGTCAGCAGGGTGCTGACAGCCTTCCTTGCCACCCCATGAACTGGCTCCTCAAGGGAAGGACTATTCATCTCTGCTTCCCCAGGAGAGTACCTGGCACAGCAGATACTGCAAAGCTTTGCTGACAGAACTGGATCCTCACCAAAGCTCCCTGCTCACCTAGGAGCCCCATCTCTGTGTTTCTGTGCCTTACCCTCATTGGGGCCATATGAGACCTCTTATAGGGACACTGGTTGTGGCAGCCCCTTCCTTTGGGCCTTGAGAGAGGTCCCAACTGTGTCTTGTCATGGATTCTGGCACAAGCCCACCATGGCAGATGGAAAAGTTGGGTGGATCTCTCAGAAAACATAGCGGTTACTTTGCCAATTGCTACTCCTGTCTGAGGGCGAGTCCAGTCAACAGTGAATCTCAGACTTCTCTATGGGTGGGGCTCTCTGGCCATGGTGCCTTCTCCCTGGCTCTGGAAGATGTGAAGAATGGTTAAGCAGAAGTCTTAGCTTCTGGGGTTCTCTACCCTGGATCTGAAGAGCCCTAGAATGTGACTTTTGCAGTAATCAACAAGCAATTCCTATCAGTCTGGGTACACCTCAAGGGCTGGAAACTGGCCTCCCCATTCCTGGCTGTTGGAGGACTGGAGGCCAGGGATACAGGTGAACAACAGAATAACTGTGGTGTGAGGGCCCTTCAGTGCCAGGGACCAGGCCCATGAAGCAAAGGTGTGACTCACGAGACAGCCCAAGCTGATGAGGTGTCTGGAGCAGCTGAGGCCTCTTGTGGTTATGTGAATCACCTGGCTTGGGGTCCCAGCCCAACTGTGTAGGACTGACTCACTGGGAGACCCTGGAAAAGCCTCTGTGTGCCTCTTCCTGGCTGGTCAGCTCACTCATCTATAAAGTATGAGTTTCCCATCAATACAGGATCTAGGGGCTGGGAGATCACAGAGTTCTCACAGGCTTAAGGAAAACAATATAGTTAAGTAGTCCTCATGACAGAGTTTTGTTCCAGAAGCTTTGGTGTCAGGGAGCCCTGGAGAGTCAGAAGAGTTAGAAACTGAAGTGGGGGGACCTGCTTGAATGTAGAGCAGCCAAGGGGCTTTGTGTGGGTGTCTGTGGAATGCTGCCCAGAGGTCAGTCTTGGTAGAAGTCAGGACCAGGGAATAAATCCTGGGGCTCCAGGACATATAGAAGGAGGCTACAGTAGGTGGCTGCCACGAGACTCCACATCCATATCTGCCAGGACTCGGGCCTAGCATCTAGCGCAGCACCTGGCACATAGCAGGCAGTGAGATGTGTAGAGAACGAGTAAGTAAAGTCTCCTGAAAGTGAGATACTACTTGGTGCCTTCTCCTCTTTTCTACTCCAATTGCTTGGGCCCTGGTTGAACATAGAGGTGCTCTTTCTGCACTGGTGGTCAGTGCCCAGAAACACCTAAGACTACCCATGGTAACTCAACCTCCCAGGATCCCCTGAGAGTCCAGCATCCACAGGCCTTGGGGAGGACCCACTTTCCAGGAGACTCTGAAGGGAAGGGGAAGGCCATTCACCTGCTTCCTCACATACTCCACCAGCAATTCCAGCTGTCGAGGGTCTTCACATTTCTGGTTGAAGAAGGTTCTCCAGAGGGCAGCAGCCAGCCCATGGTCATCTGAAAGGATCCCCTAGAGAAAAAGTAAAATAAGAGGTCTCTTGGATAATATCACAGAGCTGTGACACAGAAGCTGGGGATATTATGAACATGCTAGTAACCACAGAACTGGCTCAGAAGGATCTTACAAATACAGAGAGGGTATGTGGGAGCCACACAGCAGAGCTGTAAAGGTTCTTACAAGAACATCTGGTCCAACCCCTTCATTTCATACAGAGGAAGAACATGGGCCTCTGAGGGCCAAGTCACTGGCTAAGGTGAAGCAGATGTGGGACTCATGTCTGGCCAACCCTCCCAAGTGCAGCTCTCCCATGCCACTTGGCTCAAGAAATACTTGAGAGGTCAAGGCCCAATGGCAGCTGCAGTGCTTCTTTTGCTGTCTACCAGGCACGAGCTGGGAGTACAATGAGTGTGTATTCCCTGGAATGGACGTGGACAGGGACTGCACCTTCTTGTTTGGTTCAAGGGCACACATCTGCGAGGCAGTTGGCTATTTGGGGAAGGGAGCCAGGTACCTTGTCTTCACTGTGACCAACTCTAGCCTGGATATGGCTGGCCAGAGAAACAGGTCTGTCACAGGCCACAGAGGGCAATGCTCAAGAGTGTGCCTATGTGTGCACGTGCATGTGTGTGTGCACGTGTCCACTGCCTCTCTTGGTAAAGAAACCTCTGTTGTCCCAACAGAGGCTAACTAAAGCATCACTATGTGTGGAGAGCAACCAATCTGAGCAAACATGGTGACCTTTAGACACATGCATAAACGTGCTTCTGTGAACTTTATTTGCATGGCTATGAAGGCATTTGCATACGAAAAATGCTAACTGACTATTGTTGTCCATATCACAGAGCAGTATCAGGCTAAAGGAAGCCACATGTGTTTATCAGATTTCACCCCAAAAAGATCAAGGAAATTACATGGCACCAGTCATTTTCACATCTTCAGACAATTTACATCCAAAAACAATTGGCTTTGGATTCCCTTTCCTCTTCTCCTATTTTCTGCCCTATAAAAATAAAACTGAGGCTGGTTCGAGGTTGTGGTTTTTGCACCAGAGAAGCTGGGCCCACTGGATCCTTATGTTGCTTTACTTGTATGTCTTTGTGTATTTATTTTTATATTTGTTTCTAATCCACAGCCTACCCACTCAGGAAAATGCGTTCTGCCAAGTGGGTCCCAGCAACTATGGGCTAGGACCATTCTCTAGCTTGCACATCTAGGGATAGATGGTATGAAGGGCTTGCTTCTTGGGATGAGAGTGACTGAAAAGAGAGGCCCTGATACATTACTTTCTAGGTGCCAAGGCAGTGTATGGAACCAACATGCGGACTTGGAGCAAGGTCAGATGGAGTCCTAGTTTTGCCACTGCCAAGCTCAGGATGGTGGTAGTTCACTAAAACTGTCTCAGTCTTCTCATCTATTAAAAAGAGATGAAAACGGTTGCTCTACTTCCAACATCCTTCAATTATGAAAACAAGATACTGTGAAGATTAGAATGTGCTTTGCCAGGCAGCTGTGGAAGCAACAGTGGGATCCAGGAGCCAGACCACCTAGTTCAAATGCCAGCTCTGTCACTTGGTGGCCATGTAGCTTTTCAAAGCCATTAGCCCGTCCTGATCCTCGGTTTCTCATGAGTTAACAAGCACAACAACAACTATCCCACAGAGTTGTGAGAATTAAGAGATAATGGCCATGAAAGACTTTCATTAGTGGTAAACATTACACAAAGACCCGGGATCACTTATTCAATGTTATATTGTGGTCTAGCCTCTTGAGCACTGTGGTATATGAGGTCTGGCTCCAGGCCTGGTGCCAGGAAGGGCTATGTCCAGTATAGGGTGCTGGCAGTTTGGTGGGAAAACATTCTACCTGTCTCAAATGTCTTCTGCTAAACACCCCTACAGTTCTACACATTAAGACAGTCCTGGCACAACGACTGAGACCAGCTTCTTCTGGCAGATGGGGACAGGGCCAAAGACAAGCTCAGGCACATCCCCTTTCTCTAAGCTTTGAGTTAACACAACAGCCTGTCTGTGTCTGAAAGGCCCTGGGCACAGGCTGAAGTGCTGCTGGCAACAACCTACATGTGCTACACAGAAAGGAATGGGAATGGGAGAGGAGGTCACAGAACCAGAAGGAGTAGAGTCTTGGACAGGAAAAGCCTGGGGGCCATGGCTTGCTGCAAACAGGCAGTCTTAGCAATGGGTGAGATGACTGGAGAGGGGCAAATCCATAATCAGGAATTCCTGAGCAGTCAGAAAGAAAAGGATGACTCAGGACTCATTAACTGTGATAACAACCTGACTGTTCCAGATTGTTAGGGTTCATTCACATACCTGGCTTCTAATGATTATGTATGCCAAGTTCAACAGACACCACTATCCTGATTTGAAAGGGAAGTGAACTGAGGCTTAGTAGTTGTCTAGCTAACTGGTAGCAGAACTAGGACCAGCATGCACTGCTGAGATAAGCAATGGTGCCTGGATAGCTCTATTCAGAATGCAATACCTGGCACAGAATGAATACAATAAAAATGGCTAAGTCGGAGAACCCAACTCCAGCCTTCTTCTCACCATTCTACTAGTAAGTAAGTGAAAGCAAATGGGAGACTGGTCTAAGGGGGCAAATTTCAAATCATGGAAGCACGTGAAGAAGAAAAACAAAGGTACCTAGGGGGCCAAATATTAAGTTGCATAGCAATTTCTCCACAATTTTATAGAATGCCTATTTGTTTCTCTCATGGTATGAATAATATAAACTTTAGGAAATCAAGATACCTAGGTCTAGAGTAACTGAAAGGAAGGAACTGCCCTGGCTCTAGAGGGCTCTGGTCATGGTTAAGGTTTTAAAGTGGCAGATTCTGGTGAAGATTGATTTGAAACCACTATGTGCTTAGCCTGACACTAAGAACACAGGATCATCGCATTATGGTCTCAACTGTCAGGGAGCTTACAATCTAGGTGAAGGGCCAAAGCTAGTGCCCAAGAAACACTAGCACAGAATAAAATCCTGGAGAATGAACAAATGCTAAACTACACGGTGAGACTCTGGGCTGTACTCTATACATGGCTACTGTTTCCTCATTCTGTAGTCTTAGCGCCTGTGACAGCTCCTCAGGAGACCTTGCTGGTCTACACTATGTCATTCTCCTGTTATTCTATAGCTCTGCCCTCTATTGTTAACTAGATATTTTTTCTACGGTTTACTTGTTGCTTGCAAATTAAAAGGTAGGCTCCTGGGGCCAACAGGTAGTGTGGTAGTTAAGACCCTGGCTTCCCACATGACCGACCATGGCTCCAGACTTGGACCTGGCAGCTTGAAAATAACACTGGGCGTGTGTGTGTGCATGCCAAGAATCCCGAGAGGGGAATGAAGAAGGAACAGCAGTGTGGCCATCCTCCTATGGGAGGTGATTTATCACTTTCCCTTTTCTCTGACTCTCTCAGGAGTGCACATGCCCTATGGCAATTAAAAAAAAAAAAAGGTAGACTCCTGGCCTAGCCTCAATAGTGTAGGTGGAGGAAGCCACTGAAAGATACTGAAGCTATGGGAGGTGCAGTTTCAACCATTGAACATTTCAGATCCCAGTTTCATCCATTAAACATTCTGGTTGCACCTTTATGTGCCCATGATCCTGGCTGACGAGGAGGCTGGGGGAAGAAAGTGGTGTGTTAAGACCCTGTCAAGGGTACCTAAATAAAATAAGTACAATTTTTTTTAAAGCTCCTATGGGAAAAAGCTATACCATATAAGTTTGACTTACTAATATATCCCCAATGCATCATATGTAGTGAAGAGTCAATAAATATCTACACAATGGGTAAGATGTATGACAGGTGTTGAAATGGACAGGGGTTGAAATTCAGAATAAAAACACGAGAGATTTACTGAAATCAGAAAAACTTTTGTGGAAAAGTAGGACTTAAGAACGGTGAAGATTTGAGCCAGCTAGTGTTGTGGTGGTTGGGGCAGCTAGATCCCACATGGCCGACAGTAGAGTTTGAGTCCTGGATCCAGTGGCTTAAAAGACCTATCATAGGGACCAGCAGTTGGTGTAATGGCTATGTTGCTGGACTCCCATGTAGTCGACCGCAGTTCAAATCCAGATCCTGGTGGCTTAAACTCATACCAGGCATGTGTGCATGTGTGCCCAAGATCCCGAGAGGAGAATGGAGGAGAAGGGATTGCGGTGTGGCTATCCCCCCTGGGGGTGACTTCTTGCTTTCTGTCTGTTTCTCTCTGTCTTTCTGGAGAGCGCACACACCCTACAGCAAAAACCTCTCCAAAAAAGGAAAAGAAAAGAAATGTCTTGAAAGACCTGGCAGGTGCATATGTGTGCCAAAAATCCCAAAAGGAGAGTGGAGGAGAAGGAATTGCAGCATGGCTACCACCCCTGAAACTCTGCAATGCTTTTTCACTTCCTCCCAACAACTCCCCTTCTCTCTCTGGAGAATGTGCTCATCCTATAGAAAAATTAAAGAAAAATAAAGATGCTGAGGATTTGGAGAACTGCAGGACATTCTAAGCAAGAGAGAATATTAATTTACCATTTACAGAGGAAATATCTACAAGGTGCCAGGCCCTGACCAAGCAATAAGGTACAAAGCAGACCAAAACTCAGGTATTGACCTCAACACCTCATTTTCCAGTAAGAGTCTCAATCAAGCATGGCATGTCTGAGAGGCAGTGAGAGAAGGACATGGGAGATAAAGGTGGACAGGCAGTAGAAACAGTTCTCAGAAGGCCTGGAAGTTTGAGGAGCAATTTGGCCCTCACATAGAAAAAGAATAAAGTTTTGGAATCAGCAGATGGTATAATGGTTAGGTCGCTGGACTCACATGTAGTCGATTGTGGCTTGAGTCCTGAACCCGGTGGCTTAAAACTCACACTAGATACATGTGCATGTGTGCCCAAAATTCCAAGAGGAGAATGGAGAAGGGACTGTGGTGTGATCATGCCCCCTGGAGAGTGATTTCTTACTTACTGTCTGTCTCTCCAGTGAGCACACGTGCCCT